TTCATCAATATTTTTGTATAATTTATTGCTTTCGTGTGATAAAAGAATTTATTATTAGTATTTTTTTATTTATTTCCTTGTATTTGCTTATTGTTTTGTTTGCTTGTGTGGGTTTGATGATCTTGTCGGCAATGATGTTGAATATTGGAATAAGTATGTGCTATAAATGGTGGAAATATTGCACGATTAGATTAATTAATAATTGTTTATGTGAAACTTGACTATTTATGCACGACACTCATGTTTTACAGAGTAAGTTGGTGATTTGGCTCATTACTTTAGAGAAGAGTTGAACATAGTAAGTTAAACCCAAATAAACTCTATTGTATTTATCCATAATCCATTTATAGAGAAGTTTGGAGGTGGGTTAGCTATTACAAGTGAACATTGAGATAAGTAGGGGTTCCATGTATGAAATTGTCTTATGTGGATTGTCTAAAACCAATGAGACAAAGACGAGGTGAAAGCCTTAAGGTAACGGTTGGTTTTAGAGGCTAAATCTAAAAGAAAATGGGCATAGCACTAATCTGTGTGGATAAAATCATCTTTTCGAGCCTATATAACACGAGTGAAGAAACATGTAAGGGTTTTAAACCTGGTGCCCTATGGTCATCTGACTTTTGAGTTATCGACATAAAGCTCGCTGCATGGGTTATATAGAAAGCAAATGAGAAGATATTTTTAAAAAAAGAATGAAAAATAATAATAGTTGAGAAGAAGCACAATTACATTGATTAAGCCCCAAGACATTTGGTTGATAGAACTATACCTTTGATACAAGACAAGTAGCTTAGTTTAGTTTTAAAGGTTGATGTAGACAAAAATATAGGAGAATCTCATCTTGTTGAAGTGTAAACTTGTGATCTAAACTAAGAGAGGATAAAGAGTAGAATTAAATAAGTTCAACTTATGATCCACTCTGGAAAAATTGAGTGAAAAGAATAAGTTGGGGGTGTGCAGTTCTCGAGAGAAGAAATGAAATATTTGGGTCAAGAGTTGAGCCAATCATGAGCTGATATGTTTACAAGGATTTAAACGTACCTACGTCAAGTTATACATAAAACATGTGGAGATTGATTTGATTTTGCATTGTTGAAGCTGTTCATTATGTAATTATTGCATTCTAGTCCCGAGACACGACAAGTTGTCAAACCCTGTTTTGTCTGTAGTTAAACTACAATTTGTTTGAGAACAAACAATTGTTCAAATTTGAGGGATTACACTTATTTAGGGCACACAAAATATGGACAATTTTTGGTAAATATATCGAAATATGGCTTAATTCAAATAAATTTTGTTTTGTAGAATAACATCGATGAACATGGTGGAATTTAGGAAAAAGAAGCGAAAATGACTAAAATGGAAGAAAACCAAAGTTCAGGGTTCAAAGTACAAACAACTGAAAGATGACATGGAAGAAGAAACGCAGATGTGAAAGGATCAAAAACCAATTAAGCAAAGGAATGAAGTGTTGGAAAAAGAAGAAGTGCAAAAAGAGATCAAGAAACGAGAAAACAGAGTTCGGGGACTAAAATGAAACTTGTGGATTTTGAGTTAAACTATGCAGTTGAATGGTTAGATTTAGGGAATTTAAGGAGTAAATTTCATTGAACCATGCGGTCGCATGGGAGTGTACTATGCGGTAGCATAGTATCGGGGAAGGTCAATTTCAAGACTTGAAGATTCAATTCAAATTTTATTTGGACGAGGTCGATTCTTCAATATTTCTTTTGTTTTCTTTCTCATAATATGTTAGGCTAGTTTTCTTTATACTAGGAGAACGATAGACCTTGTAATATGAATTTTTAATCTTTAGTTTTACATATTTAACATTGAAAACACGTTTTTGGATATTAAATAATTTATATGATTTTCTTTTCTCCACAATTATTGTGCACGGTAGTCGTGTGAATGTGGTGGCCTATTTATGCATTCAAAAGAAGGGAAATAGGTTCGACATATATAAATTGTCATAGGATCCGATAGGGAATAGAAATATATCGCTATGCTCTATATGAATCTTTAAGTATTCATAAAAATTCATGCACTATTACATGTTCGCATTCGTCATAGAAATATAGTAAGATCATATATGAAACTAGGTTTAACATTAATCGAGAGAGATTGTTAAATAAAATAGGAACATTGATTCATCAAAGTTCAATCGTGTTGTCAAAGTGTAGAAATAAGGTTAAAAATGATTATTGCGTGGGAATTCAGGATCCTTGTGCATTTGTCATTTATTAAACACATTAATTTGTATTTAGAATAATTTGAATTTAACTTAGTTAATTTACTCATAGTTGCATAAGTAGATTCTTTTAGATATAATTTTGTCATAAACACACACAACACATTATTCTTGTTTTGGTTAAGGTCACGATAATTAAAATTGAACTAATCAATTTCTATGGGACGGTACTTGGACTCAAAATCTACTTTATTATTTGTTATTGAACTGTACACTTATGGTGATATTAATTCGAAATATATTTTCGTGAACAGAGAGTGAATTTGTTTTAAACCCTTTTGAAAATAATTTTAAATTAATTAATTCACAAGCACTTTGATTAATCAAATAATAATCGAAAGCAAAATATATGTAAAAGAATAGAGAGGATGCAAATGATTTATTTATGGAGATTTGTTCTCAACTAATGATCTACGCCCTTCATTACCAAGCTCTTTATCACGAGTAAGACCTTTTAACTTATTGATTGACTTATGTGCAATGAAAACCCTTACATCGCTTCTGATGACTTACAAATAAGGAGTGTCGATCCTTATACAATATTGAGCTTTCAAAGGACCTGAATATGAACCAAAGATTTAAAGAAATGGCTTTATAATGAAATTTCTCTCTAAATAAATTATGGCAATCCCATCACATGACTCTCAAACCTAAACCTAATCCATTGTTGTATGCCTTACTTAGGAGCGTAGCCACTCGAACACATAAGATGAGTGAACCTAAGTGATTATCTTCTTCTAATTCATCTAGTTCATGCAGGTATTTAATACGAAGATCCAAAGTAGTAAGAGATGACATGCTAGTATATGCTTCTAACTCAAAGCGCCTCGCTGTAAGAATCTAGCTTCGCTAATGCTCAACCGCTATTACATTGAGCCAATCAAATCTGTGCATGAGATCTCTTTGCTGAGGAAGAGAATAGATTTGAAAAATAGAAAGGGTCTTTGAAGATGCATTAAGTACCACAAGTGTTAGATGAGAAAACTTTGATTTAAAAGTTTGGTTCATTCTATCAAAGTTTTTGATATTAAAAAAGTTGAAGAAACAAATGCTATGTAAGTTCAAATTTTAGCTCAAAATATTTCTCTTTAATGCACTTGAAAATTCTTTTTAATTGATTGCAAAAGAGAACCTATTTATAGAGGACAATTTGCAAAACTTTTTGTCCAATTGAATGATGGCTCGTCAATCAATATAATATAGCCATTGGATAAAACGATCAAATTTTGAACCATTGGATTTTAGACTGACCGGTTCGCCAAACTGTTTTCCCAGTTTCGTTCCTTTTGGTCCAATCTGAATGTTTTGAAAATGTGGACTTTTGGAAAGTGTTATTAACTAGTTTTTCAAGATAAATGGTGTCTTAAAAATATGATCTAAGTTCAAATATTATTTGAAAATTAATTTTACCTTTGATCAAAATATTTTATACACACTACAACAAAAAGAGTCATTCGCAACATTAAAAAGGCAACATTTGTTGATAAATGTTGCCAAAAGGATCTTTTGGCAACATTTTAGGAAGTGAATGTTGCCATTAATTAGTATAAATGACTTTTAGCAACGTTTTTCAGAAAAATGTTGCAGTTAAAAGAGTCATTCGCAACATTAAAAAGGCAACATTTGTTGATAAATGTTGTTAAAAGGGTCTTTTGGCAACATTTTAGTAAGTGAATGTTGCCATTGGTTAGTATAAATAAGTTTTGGCAAAGTTTTTTTGAAAAATGTTGCAATAGACCCTTTTTCGCAAAGTTTGTTGAGTGTTGCGGAATGTTTTATCTTTCGCAACGTTTGGCAAACGTTGCTAGAAGTCCCACTTTTCGCAACATTTGCCAAACGTTGCGAAAAATAAAACTTTTAGCAACGTTTGCCAAACATTGCGAAAAGTGAGACCTTTCGCAACGTTTATCAAATGTTGCAAAAACGTTTTTTTTCCAAATAAATAGGTCAAATTGCAAAGCCCAAAAACCTGAGCCCAATATTGATATATTATAAACCCCAAATCATCTTCTCCCAAATCCACCCTACATTTCAATTCAATTTCATCCAGGCTCGACCTCCGCCTCTACCTCTACGTCTCCTCCAAGGTCGGAACCCAGCGTCGAGCCACGACTGCTAAGCCGAAGAAGGAAGAAGTAGGAAGCTGTCAAGGACGAATATTTATCTGGTTTTCTTGGAAGTTCTTGTGTTAGTTACGCGCTTCCCAAATCCAGCTTGCAACGTCTTTAGAAACAAGAGAGAATTGTTTCAATATCCCAGTCACCAATATTATATAGATTTGTACCTGTCTAAAAATATGCATAATATCCATGATCAATTAATTTTTTGATGCAGGAACGATTAAACCAAGGCTTTTTCATCTTGGTTTTTTTCATTTGAGTTTCGACAAGATAAATGTAAGACCCAAAGCAATGTTTTTAGAGATAAGGATAACAATTCTGGGTTTTGATTTTTACTCATAAATGTAAAAGGTTGATATATATTTGCGATGATATACTGTTTGATATTATTGATTTTGGGTTTTTGGAGATGGGTTTTTGTTGCTTGTTATTAGAAATGTGATTTTGGGGGTGTTTCTTATTGGAAAAGATTTGTATGTAATTCGTAGCTTGTGCATATATAATGTTGTCGAAAGGGGATGATAGGAAGAAAATTACTGAGAAATCTAGAAATGGGAATTTTTTAAATGACCTTAAAATATAAGTAATGCTATATACGAATAAAATGTGGGAGACAGCTGCAACTTCGATGGTTAGCAGTCGATCCAAGTCTGTTGGAAAGTTCCATTCAACTGAAACCAAGATCAAGATGAAGGAATCTAATAATAATATTAAAGATTCATTTGAGGAGAAAAAGTCCATTTGGAGTTGGAAGAGTCTAAAGACATTGACTTATGCCCGAAACCGGAGGTTCAATTGTTGTTTTTCGCTCCAAGTCCATTGCATTGAGGGGTTACAAGAGTTTTTTAATGATGCTACTCTTGTTGTGCACTGGAAGAGGAGAGATGGTGAGCTGATGACACAACCAGTTAGGGTCTATAAAGGAATAGCCAAGTTTGAAGAACAGTTGACATATTCATGTCCTATTTATGGTACTATGAATGGTCCTAATCGCTCGACAAAGTATGAAGCAAAGCATTTCTCATTACATGTACGGGTGGGCAAAAACCGAACCAACCCGACTAACCCGACCGACCCAAACCAACCCGATCAGGTTGGGTAGGTTTTTTTCCATTTTTTTTCCTGGATTGNATATTTCAACTTTTCGGTTTCTATCGGCTATTCAGCCTTCAATTCCTTTCCCAAGGTAAATTACCAAGTTTGCATTTTTTTTTCCGGCTTATTACTAAGATTCAGCCCTCATTTTGCAGACTTTTTTGTACAAACTTATTTAATAGATCATTGAACATGACCAAGAAACATATTTAACCTCTCATTTCTTCATCTTCACTACTTTATTTAGTGGCTACTCGTTTATTTCCACATATTCATTTATTTCTCTTAGATTCTCGTTTTAGTTCTGATTTTCTTGTTGAAAATTTGAATTGAGACATGAGCTAAAACATTGTAATTTAGAACTAGCTAATGGAAATCATTGATACAAACCGACCAACCCAACCCAACCCGACCGACATATAATTGGGTTGGGTTGGATTTCGAACAAACCGACAATGTTGGGTTGGTTTTGGGTTGGGGCAAAAACCGACCCAACCCACGCCCACCCCTAATTACATGCTTCAGTGTATAATGCTCCCAAGCTTGATTCTGGTCTGTTTATAAGCTTCAATTGTGCTTTTTGGTTTTTTTGGGGTAAATTTTTCCATACGTGCAATAAAATCTTATTAATTCCATATCTCTATATTCTGTATGATGAATTTACTTTTTATCCCTCACATTCCGATAAATTGGTCGTGATTGATTGGCGTCTGATGGTAATGAATCTTGTTATGCTTATTATTCATGAATAACTCTTGATGAACAAATGTTTTAGGAAATGCAAAAATCAGGGCGTGAGAGAGATGACCTGAAAAACTTGGCAGAGACATTAAAATCACAAGGTACTTTCTTTGGTTGTATGTGTCTATCCAAAATTCAATTTCCTTTTCCTTTTTCTCTGTTTATCTCCATTTTCAGGCCCCCTCGGGGTCTTTATATCAGCTTAAAAGAGAAGTACTCTTAGCTTCCCTTTCTTTTCTCTGATGAGTTACTACTCTACTATGAAGTTGAGCCGAAATATTCTATTTGCCTATAATTGAAGTGGGGTTGTGGTTAGTGGATCAAAGTTTTTTTACTAGTTAGTTTATCTGATGTCAAGTGATATGACTATTTTAGAGGAAAGGATTCTTGAAGTTTTAAAGAATTGGCCTGAAAAGACTATTCAAGTTATAGTTGTAACTGATGGCGAGCGCATTTTAGGGCTCAGGGATCTCAGCTGTCAGGTAAATTTCATTAGTTCATATTATATAAATGCACTGATCATGAAATTTAACTTGAACATTATTGCTTACACCCAGGTGCTCCAATATGCTAAAGTAGTCCATTATCAATGATTAAAAACATGATGAAAAATGAACCTCAATGATTAAAATCTTGTTTTTCTATTTAGCACAAACGACCAAAGGCCAGCTTTTGTACAAAGATGAAGCTGAAGAAAGGAGGCGCTTCTATGAAAAGTCATATCGAAGCGAGATCATTGTTCGTCTCTACATTTTAGTATAATTCATAGTTTCTTTTTATTTAAGTGGTATTGTATCACAATCTAATGTTCAATTGTATGGATTCAAAAATTTGTAATAAAATTATCAATTTTTATGCAATTCCAAAAAAGTGGTGTTGTATCATTTTCAATTTTGCCAATCAATTTGCATAAATTGTTGTTAAAAAAAAAAAAACAACCCTACGGCAACGTTTGGCAAACGTTGAGAAAGACTGTTCTTTTGCAACGTTTGATAAACGTTGCTGTAGATAGATACAACAACGTTTGACAAACATTGCCGTAGGCAAGACCTCGATTCGCAACACACGTCCAAACGTTGCCGTAAGCTGTTTTTGTTGTAGTGACAAGTGATATCAAAATACATTTTTAGTGTACAAATTAGTTATTGAGCTTTTATTGCTCAATGTTAAAGATGAAACATAAGTACCTATACATTTGGTCTAAAAAGTCTAGTTTTTTTATGTTTCTTTGAAGTTTGGCTCTTAAGCTCTCATCTTGATCTTTCTATGAAGTTTAGCCTTTAAGCTCTTATATTGAAGGAGTTTGTCTTGAATGCTCGGACTACTTTATATCGATATTGACCTTCTTTGTAAGTCCAACTTATAATGATAGTCTTGATTGTGATCTTTCGAAGACGATCAATCGATTTATCATAGAATGCTTTGAAGACTATGATCACTTTAATTCAATTAGTAAACATGATTAACTTGTTTGTTATGATAAAAAAACATTAAGGTTTTTAGTTAATCATAGGTCAACAATTTCCCCCTTTCTGATTATGACAAGTTTTGCAATAGAAAATTCTCCAAATCTTTTCCACGAAAAACACGATACTTCAAGAAAAGTTCACAAAGAAAAATGGAAACATGTGCGTCATTTGTTGCAAGAAGTGCCACTTTGCAAAAAATTTCCTCTTCCGAACAGAGAAGCATTTTTTTTCCCAGTTTACCCAAGGCTTGTGTATCTTCAGAATTTGATTTGAAGACACGATGTTGGCAACTTGGAATCTATCCAGAAAAATAAAAGCATAAGGAAGGATTTTGTTATCCAAATCACCACTACCAATGGACGATTATGCAATTTTTTCTTAAGACAACACCCTCATTGTTTCAGAAGGCGATTACAAGAATTTATCATCTAATAGAGTTAGTATTAATATATATTGATGATGCTTCTCATTCTCAAGTAGTATCCCAGTTCCCAAATCTGACAAAACAATTTAAGGTCATGCTCTCTAAAAAAATGGTTATTGGAGTCTCTGAAATTGATTTCTTGGAAATGCACATCAAAGACGGCCAGTATTCTCTACAACCTTATGTTCGATAGGAACTCTTGAAGTTTGCAAATAATGATTTGACTCAAAAGGAAGTCCAACAATTGCTTGGAATAGTAAAATTACATGGCAGCTTTGTTGATAATCTATCTCCAATTATTAAACTATTGCAAAACATGTTGAAGAAAGATGCACCACCATGGTCCAGGAAACAACAGAATCAAACAGAAAGTGCAAGGTCTTCCAGCTTTATCTTTTCCCACTGATGGAAAATGGATTTTGCAAAATGATGAAAGTGATCTGTATTGGGCAGCAATTCTTTTAGAAGAAAAGGATGGAAAAAGGGGTATTTGTGGATACAAAAGTGGATCATTTTTAGACACGGATAAATACTACTATTCTACTTTCAATGAAATCTTAGCATTCAAACATGGCAATGAGAAATTCCAGTTCCATCCCAAATATTGAGTATATCCCTCCCAAAGCTCCACACGCTCATCAAAACCAAAACCTTTCACTCCACAGCAAAAGAACACATGTTCAAATATCAATCCATAGTCATTAAACAAATAGGAATTGAAACACTTGGTGGTCTTAGATTCCACGCAGACTATCCTTTTTTCACTCTGTTTCACATAGTCATGCAGTCTCAAAATTTTCTAAAGAGCTCCTTTGCTTCTTATGTATCTATTGGAACTTTTCCAAATGTATTTGTTTTAATGTAAGTGTTTCTCTTGAATGGTTTAAACAAAATCAGTTTTTAAAGTTTAAACGGGCATGATTCATTTTAAGAAGAAGATTTTAAGGTAAAAAAAATCTTCGAAGGATTTTATCCTATATTCCATTGCATAAAAAATGTTTGAAGCATTTTTCTTTAAAGTTTAAAGACCTTAGGACATCTCAACAAAATATTTTTGTTCAAGGTCTTCCAAATACAAGGTTAGTTTATAGATGTAGGTTCATATGAGCATTTGTCCCATGTCAAAAAGTATGGGGTTCAACCTTTCAATTTTTATGAAGACTGGGAAAAGCATCCAAAAGACTTTCGAGAATTTTAAAGGAAAATGACTAAAATCAGCCAAACTATTTGATGCGGACATCATCGAGATGTATTTTTATTGTTATTGAGCTTTGTTATTTATGTTATTGTTATTAGACTTTATTATTTATGCTTTTATTATACATCGAGATTTATTTTATTGTCATTGAGCTTTATTATTTATGTTATTGTTATTGGACTTTATTATTTATGTTTTTATTATTATTGGGTTTGTAATAGTGGGTTGGTCCAAACCCAACTAGGTTTTCACTATTTAAACAGTTTTTACATTACAATTTAGTTAGACGATGATTGATTAAAATTGAGATTGGCCGTTACCAACTTTTCCCCTTTTCCGTGCTTCTTCTTCTTCCTCCCCTTTCTTCACGACTTCTTCTTCTTGCCTTTTCTGTTCTTTTCTGTTTATTGGTTTGAATTGCATTGGTGCTGCATCAAATTTGGTATCATAGCTAAACCTGGTTTCATCATCAATTACATCCCAAACCCTAGTTTCCATTGTCAATTCACATCACCGTCAACCACCAAAAAAAAAAAAAACGACAATACTCCAACTCCAATAGATCCCCAAACTGCAAGCCCATACCTGCTGCACCTCCAACCTAACCTACACCAAACTAAGCCACACAAAGTAACCCACCACATACCAAACCAATTCCAGTAGCAGGTCCCAACATCCAAAAAAAAAAAAAATGAAAAATGAACTCCTACCGCCGCCACGCATACAATGCCCAGAGATCTCCACAGCTCCGACCCGCAACCCTTAGGTGCAGGTGCGACCAGTGAACATGAATCGCCGCACGCCAACAACGCCCCAGCAATCTCTACAATCTAGACCAGTCAATCGCCGCCGCAGTTCACCTCCAGCGGGCATTGCTTGGTTTATTTCTGTTTGGGCATCACTGTGTCAATTTGATTACTGCATTGGGCCTCAGTTTTGTTTAGTTTATTTTGAATTAGTATTGGGCCTCCATTTTGATAATCAATGTAATTTATTTTTAGTTGGAAAAAAAAAAGAGAGAGAGAGAGTGAAAAAAAAGAGTTATTTTATAACATGTTTGCAGATACCTCTCTTTGACCTAGTTGAGTTCTTTCAACGAACAAAATCGGGACTGTCATTTGTCTTTTGGTGCTCAATTACTTGGTGTTTGGCTACTTGGTGCTCGACTACTTCAACGAACGAACAAAGGGAGTTTCTATTTTACTTATCGTTGGTTTATATTAATGTTTATTTTTAAAATTGCATCGATTTATTTCTTTGTGCTACTGTTTTTACCTAAAATTCTTGTGACCGAATCATTGACTTGTTAAATTCCCATTTACCTCACTTATGTTACGTGATCGGATTTTTGACTAGTATTTGGCGTGTGCTTGTTATCTTATATGTATCAGCAGTATTAGCTTGCAGTATTTAACTTCGTTTAATCCCAAAGTCTCTAAAAAAAATGCTCAAGTTATTATTTTCCGTTGCTTGCACTTATTGTTCATTGATCTCTTCATTGCACGTTATTTAGTTGCTAATACTGTACATAAAGTTGTGTCGTGGTCGTCTTGTCACATCTAATTCTCGTAACCTAACCAAGGACCTATCCCAACGTGATGTCATCACTCGTCAATTAGCACAACTTGTCACTCAAGTCGCCGTTGTCCAAACTGAGATGGTCGTTACTCGTAAAGAGAATAGAGATTTAGCTGCTAGGTTGTCCACTTTTAAGCAAAATCGTAGGAATGGGGATTGGGTTCGTAAGCAAGAACGAAGTTATGATCGTCACAATACAACTAAGATGTAAGCACAAAGCTATTTCACTAGACAACTCACACCAAGACAATGTGGGGAATATTGGGGGAAGGGAGAAAGAGAGAAAATGACTTGTAGAATATAGCCATCCATGTAAAAGTTTCCAGGAAAGAATAGACTTCAATCAAGAACTCTTGGCAACAGTGTTGCGAAATGCTGCCTGAAATTGAACCAACTCAAAATTAGTGGGACTGCATACAAAATTTGAGCTCCTCATAACAGTCATAATTTACACTCGACAAGCTATGTATAAAACTAAGAGTTAAACGTTTCATTAATCACTGAACTTATACCTCCGTCGCAATTTACTCACTGAATTTTAAAATGCTTCTGAGTGCTCACTAAACTTTTAACACGTTGAACTCAATTACTCACTCACCATGTTTCATTAGTCATTGAACTTATACCTTTGTCACACTTTACTTATTGTACTTATAACTTTTGCCACAATTTACTTACTAGATGTTAAAATGCTTTTGAGTAGTCATTGAACTTTACTTATTTAATTCAACTAATCAAAAATTAAAATTTTTCAAGAATAAATTACCATACACAAAAACGACTATTAATCCTTGAAGTACAGTCAGCAAACCTAGTTGGTTGGTGACGAGGCATAAAATAGCACAAGGAGAGCTAAGAAACGGAAGGCTTGCATAAACACCACAAGCCATTTTCCATATCCTGGCTGGATACAAGCTTTCAATAAAGGGTACGTGATCAAGTGAATAAAGTGTGTCTCCTAATCAAATTGGGTACGAGATAGCATATAAGGGGCCACCACCTATCATTCCCTTAAAATGACTAAATTACCCCAATGCTTGGAGGAAAATCTATAAATACCCATTTTATTTGAAGAAGAGGGTATGCAA